CTAGATGGACTGTGGGGGGGATGAAGAGAGGAGGCATGGAAAAAAGGGGAGGGGGAAGCAATTTATGTGCTTTTCTAAGGCAGCTAGTAAAATTCCTAGGGGAGAACAAATGCCAAAATTGACTGTCTTGGTGTGTTTTAGACCAGATCGTCAGGGTGAATCACATCAGTACTTTGCACTGGACCTGCAGCCTGCAAGCCAGGGATGGGCACACAAAACATCCCTGCGGCTGGGAGGTATCCTTCTGAAGGAGGCAAGAGATAGATATTTGCTCTTGCCAGGTTCTTCTCCACCAGGATTTTTTCTCAAATTCATTGCAAGATGGATTTAAAAAAACAGTCTTGATAAAGAAAAACCAGGGGGGCTTCCCTGGTGGCACAGTGGTTGGGAGTCTGCCTGCCAATGCAGGGGACACGGGTTTGAGCCCTGGTCTGGGAGGATCCCACATGCCGCGGAGCAACTGAGCCTTTGCGCCACAACTGCTGAGCCCGCATGCCTAGAGCCCGTGCTCCGTAACGGGAGAGGCCACCACAATGAGAGGCCTGTGCACTGCAACGAAGAGTAGCCTTCGCTCGCCGCAAGTACAGAAAGCCCGTGAGCAGCAACGAAGATCCAACGCAGCCCACCCCCCTCAAAACCCCCCCCCAAAAAAAACAGGGATAGAAAATGCCCCATAAAACATGGCCCCCAAAGGGAAGGTGCAAAACCCATTTGATCCCAGATATAGATATCTCCACCCTGGATTTTTTTTTCCTTTGCTTTACAACTCTGCAGACATCAGGTTAGCAAAAGGTAATAAATAGTCCTTGCACAGCAAGGTCTGGACTAGTGAAAACAGTTTACTGAAATTAATGGGCCTCGTTTGAACCAAAACCTCCACTTTGGAATTAATGCCAGACATAGTTTTCCTGAACTCTTTCCAACCGCCTAAGCAGCAGACAATTTTCATTCTATTTGTGCTGGAAAATAAAGCCCGGGCCCTTGATCTTAGTGTAGATTATGATTTAAAAAAAAAATATTTAGCACAGTGAACGCTATGCCAGTTTCCAGTTTCTGCTGGTAGAAGCCCTTGTGCTCTGGGCTGTGCTTGACAGAAGTTATCTGGTAAACTTTCCATTGAAAACCATCTCCGAGCTCTCTCCCCATCGGTGGCCTCAGAGCTCTCACCACGACACCCGAGAGATTCAAGGAAAGCTCCAGAAACAGACTCGGTTCTCAATAACAACCCTTTTCCCCAGGGCTCTTGGAAAGGCTGGATCTGAACAACACTGCCTGCATGACCTCAATTCCCCACCCAAAAGGAAGCTCCAAAGCACCCAACCGAACCCCCCACCCCCCGCCGCCCGGGCCCCGGAACTCAGGGTGTCTACAGTTCTGAAGCTGCTTTTATTTTTATTAATGTATTTTTAAGGCTGAAAGGCACACACGCACACACCCCACATAGGTTCACACCCAGTGGTTCTGGCAGGTACAGCGGAGACCCGGTGCCCCGGCTGTCAGTGTCTGATCCCAGCCGGCCCTCCCTCCCCCAATTATTAATAAAAGCCCTGTCATGGGTAGCCGGCGTTCTGGTTTTCATTGTACAGTCTGCACTGCTGACACAGGACATGTGGAAAATTTTGAGAGCACTGCGGTGAATGGCGTGGAGGGGGAGCGTGAGCGGGGGGAGGGGAGGGAGGGGAGCGAGTTACTTTTTAGCTTCCGCTAAGTACTTGGCAGCTCGCCAGACCCGGAGGATTCTGGGAAACGAAAGCCTCCCCAGTATAAACCGCCAGCTTTAAGCAGCCCTGACAGTTATGCTCCTTCCAAACTTGGCAGCCGTTCAAAGTGTTCTTTCATTTGAAATGCTGGAAGCCTGCCATGTGCAATGCAGATTTGCTGTGCCTGTGCGCAGAAGGAACTGATAAATGCCGTTGCGGTTGCCATGGGGACAGGAGGCTATCAGAATGGCCTTGTGATCCGCAGCCTCTCAGCTCGGCAGGCTCTCGCTCTGCCTCCCGCCCCTCCTCCCTCTAGTCAGTGAGATGGTGAAATAAATGTTCTGGAAAAAGATTAACCCTCCCCGCTCCGGTGCCGAAGCCGAAGCGGAGATTAACCCCTAGGCACTTCCCTGGCCTTAAATGCCAACCGGGACCACCGGCCTCGGCACCGTCCTTGGGCGGGTCACCAAACTCCCCACCAGCCACCCAAGCAATCCCCTCCCCAAGCCCTGCTTCCCGCTCCCTGGGGGCTCTCACAAAGCTGTGTTTTTAATAGAGCTTTTCAGTAAGCCCAAGTCTAAGTCTTTGAGTCATCACAACCCGGATGTAAACACGGCAGCCCTACATTCTGCACAGTTTGCATGTATTTTATCTTTTTAATAATATTTAGCTGGCAACTTAAAACAGCAGGAATGCCAGATATTTTAGCCAGCAACTTACATCATACAGCATCCATCTTGGGGAGAGTGGCTGCCTGTCCTTCCCTTGTTCTCTCCCTACCCTGAGACCTCAGGAAATCTAGGTCTTTCTGAAGGCACGGTATTGCAGCAACCGAGTCCCTTAGAACCATGGGCTTTAGAATGAGCATGACATCACCCTGGGCAACAACAGAGGATACGTTCCTGTCTGAGACAAGACATCGGGTGATTGGAGGTGAAACAGGTCTTTCATTTACGCTGAGTGTTAGGGTGTGCCTGTCTGGATGGCTGGCCGCTCCCCCTCCCCCCCCCCCCCCCCCCCCCCCCCGCCCATTTTGCACAAGCTGCTATTTGAAATACAGTCTGATTCAATGTACAGAAACAAAATAGCACACTCAGATTTGGTACATGTTCAGGTCTATAATGCCAACTCTCCGGGTGGCCTGTTTAATGGGGGGAAAAAATGAAATACTCCATTCCAGCCAAGGCCTGTGGAGGCCAAGGAGGTTTAGCGATTTATTTACACTGAGCAGTATTCCCTCTCAACCCAACTCGCTATTTCCTGAAGGTTTCCTGAACCTAAACCTTCGTTAACATCCCAGGAAGAGAACATATTTTTCCTGTGGCTTTCAATATTTTCTGCTAAATATATTTCAGCACAGTGTTTATCTAGGGTTTCAGCTTTCAGACCTTTATGTACTTTTGACACCTTGAGGCTGTTCCACTGAAAAATGGTATATGTTTATTAAAGAGGACTTTATGTGCTGGGCGTTAGGCAGCAGGAATTTCTGTTGGGTCTGTCTGTATAATGAAGGCTTCAGGATAAGATCCAAGTCAGAGGCCTGTTTGGTTTGTGAAGCCCTTTTGACAAAGTGGGCTCCACATAGCTCACTCAGACCCTTGAATACCACAGAAGGTTGAACCAAATGAGGTATTTCTTCATACGTGCACGGCTGACACGGAGGCCGGCCGGCCGGGAGAAAGACGGAAAATGCCCCGGCTTCCTGGGGCTAAGCTGCAGCGTCTTTTAACCCGCCTCTCTCTGGGTGTCTGCTTACGATTGTCATGGCAGTTCTGGCCAGGGCATTCTGTTTCGCTGGAATTTCCTTACTTCGAGGAGCCCCTTCCAAATAAATATATTAATCAATAAAAACCATCTGCTTCACCTTGCCAGCAGGCGCAGAGCTGGCTGGGTTAGTGCTGAACGTGATTTTTAGGAGCAGTTGGCTCTTGAGATGTTTCCAGGTGGTTTTTGGCTTGGAATTAAACAGGAGTTGGAGGCAATAATCAGGTGATTGAGAAAGTCCCTCTCTCTGCCCCATCGTCACCCCCATACCACCCTCTACTCGGCCCCCACCTTCCCCAGAAAATCCAGGCAGCTGAGTTTTTGGCTCTCACAGCTGCTGAGCTCTGGCAAGCCAAAAGCATATTTTGTGGTGGTGATTTCTTTCTCAGGTTGACCGGCGTGTTTCTGCACTGAGCGCAAGGGCTGTTTCCTGACTATGTGCGTGAATCAGAGGCTGGATTTTTCATCTAGGGCTTCTGATAACAGTTTTAAGCTGGAAGGAACAAAGAAGATCATGATGAACCCCTATCATCAGGGTCCAAAGATAAAGAATCTATCCAAAGAGCCAGCTGCATAGAGCTCAGATGTACGATGTTGCGCTTTAGCCATGCCCAGAGCAGCCCGTGCCCCCAGAAGGTGGTTCCCGCACTCACACTTCAGACACTGTCCCCCACCTTCCTCCCTCCCTCTCTCTCTCTCTCAGGGTCCTTGTGGTGTCTGCTTCTTTGTTGCCTTCAAAAGTTCTTCCTTTTTTCAACCTTCCTCTCCCAAATGGGAGGATCCGAAAAAGCCATTTTGGGGCCCTTGAATGTCTTTCCAGATGGAGGCATGCCCTGAGATTCAAAACAGCCTAGACACTACCCAGTTCTGCCCATTACAGCAAGATGACGAGAGAGGGGAGTCGGTGGTGTGGCCCTTCAGTCCCACGGCCTGAGGAGCCAGCTTCCCAGAAGTCCATGGATTAGGAAGGTCTGCTTCAGGGGCTGCCAGGGAACAACTCCCTTTTGTTTTGCTGGCTAGCATGTGACCAGAATGCTGCCAGCTAATTTTAACCCCACCAAAGTACTGCTGGAAAAAAAATAAAAATACAGCAACAACCAAAAAATGGTCTTGCCTCTGGAGAGAGAAATGCTGTGTGCTGGATAAAAGCTTTTTCAGCCTGTGTTCCTTCCTGTTTCAGTTTCCAAACTTGCATTACCGGTAACCTGAAAAATGATGAGTTTCACCAAATTCCTGGATCTTGCACAAGAGGACAATGAGACTATTTCGGGTGCTGTGAGTGTGTCTGGCACAGACCCTGGAAGCCATTGTTTTCGGGAGGGAGCCGATTTCTGGTTTCCTGGTGCTTTCCTTCTAGGGTCTCAAAGCCCCGAAGGGTACTGGGGGTGGGGGGTGCTCTCCATGGCAACCACGCAGGCTGCACTCTGAAAGGACCTGGATGGGAAGTGGGTGGTTAGGCTAGGCGGGGTGGGGGGGTGGGGGTGGGGGTGGCAGTGGCAGTGGTGGGCCTTGGAGGTGTTAAAAGGTAGACGGTAGGGAGTGTTTGAAGTGGGACAGCAGGAGAATGAAGAAGTGGAGAGAAGGAAGCTTTCACAATAGCTGGGTGCCCCCCCCCCCCCCCGAACATAGGCCACCAGCTCTCCTACTAAATTTCCATATCCGTTTTCAGTACCAGGAATTAATGGAGGACTTCAGGGAGGTTCTCACCGTGGATACTGGGTTCGCAAAGCATTTGCATGGTGGTTAATTGTCGCTGTCCGGCTGGGTGGCCGATGAAGCTGGGGAAAAGGTACAGAATCTCAGGAGCCAATAAAGGAAGAGGTTAGGACAAGATAGAGTGTAGCTCGCAGCTACTGCCGGCTCTTCTAAAACCAGGTAGCGCCATGGGCTATGCGCTGGGTCTGCAGCGCAGTCCCAGAAGATAATATGGCGGCAAAGAGACTGAGGGGAAAGACCCCAGTTAAGGCGGCAGCACTCCTGGCAACCAGGTCGGCTTGGTGGCATTTGCCCTCACAGCGGCTGAGGGCTTCAGCTGCCTAAAAAGCCATTTGCTCAGCTTGCCCTGTCTGGCAACTTCTATGCATTTAAAGGGTCCTTGCTGGTTTCTGAGGCACCCCCTCTACCCCCGAATCCTCCGGCAGACATCGTCTTCCGAAGACGAGGGAAGCTCCTGGGAGACATTCGCCCCATCGTCTGCCTCTAAGCTACTGCTATAACCTTCCCACAGCAGTCAGGATCAGTTGGCAGATCCCTAAATTAAGGTTCTGATTACTCTGTTGTTCCAGAGGCTTGTTTTGAGCAAGATGCTGTGCTTTAATTAAAAAGATGAGCGCTCATGAGTAAGTGAAAATATTTTCGACGCTTCACAAATATGTTTGACTTTCATTTTCTTGCATGTCACAGTAGGGGTGGGGGGGGTCAGGCTGGTCAGCACTTTTATCCATGAGGCCAATAAAAACCTTTCCTGTTAGCTAACAGCTGGCTCTTTGCACAGCAGAATTGTAAAGGGGGTTCGAAGTCCGGAATCTGTTCCTTGGGCGTCTCTGTTTGCAGATTTCCGCCAGCATTCAGGTGTCATTAGGACACATTTCTCATTTACCTTTGCAGCCAGAGATTCTGAAATGTTTCCTAACAGCAGCGCCACAGCTGGAATGCAGCTGCTGCAGGGTGGAGCCAACACAAACTCCTTATGGGTCAGCCGGGTGAGGGAGGGCAAGGAATCTTGGAAGGTTGGGAAAGTCCTTCTTTCTAAAGCCAGAGCTCAGGAATGAGTGGGGCCTCTGGTGTGAAAGCTTTCCAGATGGGGGAAGGAAGGGTAAGTTTTTGCCCTCTGGGTAGATTCCAAAAAATCGCTTTGGGGAGGCCAACTATTTTGAAACTGCCTTTAAAGCAAACAGCACAAATGTTTATATTGACCTGGAAAACCCTTCCTTTTTCCTTTCCCTACAATCCAAGTCTGTTCCCTTGAATATTAATCAACAGGAACGTTTGCCCAAGCTTTTCTCCTCCCCCACCTCTTTTATTATTATTATTATTATCTTTGGTTCAAAAAACTTTTGGAAGCTTTTCCAGGCTGGAGCTATAGAATGCTTCCAGGAAAATGCATAAGGAGTGTCTGTATTTTGTGTTTCTCTGGAGGGGGCTAACCGTGTTTTTCAGAGAGACTGAGCTGGGGGCAGCCAGGTCTTGTGCAAGTGGCCAGCCAAGCAAAAGGGCAAACGGTACCAGAAAGATCTGTGCACATCCCAAAGCACTGAAACGAAGGTACGGTTTAGCTGGCCCGCCTGTTCTCTTCTTTCAGTGCTTTATTACCGCAGCTGCCTCAATGTCAGTTTGTGCGAGAAGCACCCCATCTCCAGTAGATGACCTGAGAACAGCTGGGTGTCAGGGTTTGAACTTCATTCTCAAGTTAACAACACTTGTCATTTCTGCCTAAAGAACACTTGGAAACTTAGCTGGAAAGGTGCAGGAGGTCAATACTCACCCAGCAGGCAGGGATCCCACCCAGGCATGGAATGTAATGGGCATAAGGTGTCCTGGGGCTCTTGCTGCCAAGGGTGGTGTCAACCTCCAGCCCATGCCAGCACAGCTCCCCTTGGGCCCAGAAACACAAACACAGCTGCATGCATGCATGTATCGGAAACATCTGTACACAAAACCAGAAAGCGCATACGTGAGGCCCGAGGGCGATGGGGACTCACAGGACCCCTCACTGGTCGTTGCAGCTCTTGAAAGCAAAGGTAGCGGGGCTTTCCTGGAAATACACTCCATTTAGGCTGGTTCATGAGAAAACGAGCAGAAATAGCTCCATAGGAGGGCTGCCCAAAATGAGGGCAGAGCTGCCCCAGCCACTCTCCAGTGCAAAGGCTGCTTCCTCCTGGGTCATCCCCTGTGGCTGTGAGGGCCCAGAGACCTCAGGAGAGGAAGGGGCAAGCAGGAGTCTGCAGTGCTGGAAACTAGAGGACACAGCTTCTGGCTCTCCTCGGCCCATGAGCTTGAAGACTATTTACTGGTAACACTGTCATGGTTTCTGCAATAGAATCTCTTTCCTTTCCGCCCAAGGGACACAGTGACTCCAGAAGGCATCTCACCCCGCAGCGGGTTGGGAAGGTGCTTAACAGCCCAGACTTTGGAATATTAATAACAACGATGATAGGCACAGCTAATATTCATTGGGAGCCTCTTCTGTGTCTGGCATTGTGCTGAGAGTTTTAATGCATTCTCTATTCTAAGCCACACCTAATGAAGGGGTTCCGTTATTTTCCCCACTGTATAGATAAAGAAAAGGAAGCTCAGAGAGGTTAAGCAACCTGTCCCAGGACACACAGCTAGTAAGTGATGGCTGCAGTTAGAACTCAGGGTTGCCTTACTCTAGAGCAGCGGTCCCCTACCTTTTTGGCACCAGGGACCAGTTTCCTGGAAGACAATTTTTCCACGGCCGGAGGGAGGGGTGGGGTGGTGGTTCCGGCGGTAACGCGAGCGATGGGGAGGGGCAGATGAAGCTTCACTTGCTGCCCGCCACTCACCTCCTGCTGTGCGGCCCGGGTTCCTAACAGGCCGTGGACCACTACTCGGCCCGGGGGTTGGGGACCCCTGCTCTAGAGTCCTTATCAGACAGACCTGAGTTTGAATCGTAAGTTGGCTTTGTGTGATTGTGTGGCCCGTGCCAACCTCCAGGTTCCTTCCCTGTTCCCATAAATTAAACACATCAAATACTGGCAATTTCATGTAATTTAGCCTAAACCTTCTTTATTAGATTGTTGTAAGTATTAAATAAGATAATGTATATAGAGTACTTAGCAGAGTGCCTAGAATATGGTAAACACTCAATGCTACCTTTTAGTAACAATCTCAGAGTCAGTATGTTTGTTCTGTACGGATACATTCATCAAGTTATTCATAGTCTCTGTGGGTTTTCTCAAGCCCTTGGAAGGTCCGGCACATCCCTGTGTGGCACATTGGGCCCCAAGAACAGCTGGACGCAGTGCTGATGAGGGGAGAACTCCTTCTCGTTGCTCCTCTGTGACTGAACTTGTGTCGGGATCCACACGTCTGGAGCACGCATCTGTGTCTTAGCCGTTGATTCCTCTCTTCCATGTTGCCTACTCACGTTCACTTGGGTTCATTAGGGGTTCCAAGGTCTTCAAAATCATTCAAATCTGATTGCTTTACTTTCCTGCTTAAAAATCTTCCAGGTGCCTAACAGAATCAAGACAAACTCCTTAGTTTGGAACGCGAGGCCCCTGGAAAACTGCCTCCCACCCGCCTTTCTGTCTCTTCCTGCCCCGTGCCTTTGCAGAGCTCTTTTCTCTGCCTAGAAAGAATGCTTTCCCCTCTTCTTCTTTGAGCAAACTTCTGTGTATCTTTCAAAACCCAACTCAGTTTTTACCTTTCCTGTGAAAGGTAAAAACTTTACCTTTCCTGGTCTCCCACATTTCCCTGCTCTTACTTCAATGACAGTCTGCATGTATCACAAAGAACTGTAGTTATCTGTTCATACAACTCCCCCACTGGGGACTCATGAAGTTCCAGTCTAGGGCTTACCCTTCTATCCCCAAGTCACCTAGAAGGCCCTAAATAAATGCTAATAAATACATACCTTAATGTAAACTCTTATGACATAATTTTGTTGGCAGTAAAATAACATATGAGTGTATCTGTATATTATTTATACCCTCCCTTGTTTCAGCAAGAATTTGAAGTCGATGTGCATATAACAGTCTTTCTTACTCACAAGCAGATGTAGAATAGTGCTTGGTGCACCCTACAGTAGAAAGAGCTAGGACTTTAGAGTCAAACAGTTCTGGGTTCAGATCCTAACTTGGCCTCTTACTGTGACTTTAAGTCATTGCTTCATCTCTCTTAGCTTCAGTTTTCCCATCTGTAAAATGGAGATAACAGTAATGACCTGTGTGGCAGACATTGTTGATTACCACCCAATAGTCACTCCTGCTTTCTTCCTTAGTGCCCTAAATGTTTTTTTCAGGAATCCACTCCCTCTTCCTCACGCCCAGGGTGGGAAAGGGGGAAATCCTGATGAGTCTAAACAAATCTTGGTATAATGTTCCCCTTGCCAGTGATTCTTTTTGGGATGGATCTGTGACTCAGTTCTGGTCAATGAGATGTAGGGAGGGCTCTTTGAGAGGTTTGTCTAGAGAGTTGTTCTAGGAAATATTCCCCTCCTCTTAAAACATGAGAGAAAGAGTTGTCCTTCTGCAGCTGGACGTTATGTCTGGAGTGATGGCTGGGGCCACAGCAGCCATCTTGTTGTGATGAAGGCAACTACTCAGAGAGTCAAGCCAACACACTAAAGATGACGGAATGGAATCGTGGAAAGAACTGGGGTCCTGGTGCCACATTCAGCACCTAGAGCCACCCATCTCTGGACTTTTTCCTGAGATCATCAGTTCCTTCACTGTTCAGTGAGGGACCCCTAGCTCAAACCAGTAATGTTAAGGTAGCTGTTACTTGCAGCTAAAAGGATTCTAACAGATCAACTTCATGGAGTTATGGTGATGACTAAATAAAATAAAGTTGATAAAGTATCTAACACAGTGCCTGGCACGTTTGGTTCTTAACAAAGATTAAAGACCTTCCTGCTGAGACATTCTGAGGTGAATGCATGAATGACCCCAAAGACGTGGCAGATGGTAACGCAGTAGGGTTTAAAGCAGTGCAGAAGTGGGTGCGTACTGGAATGACAACGAAGATGATGATGAGAGTGAAATTTAAACATTATGTTAGGAAGTGTCCTGATGGAGCTTCTTGGGGCTGTAACTGTGGTTTTCCTTTGTACTTCTCAGGCCTCCTCTTACTCCGGTCAGAGTTAAACACTGCACAACACAGGCTTTTCTAATTGTGGGCAGCCACACTTGTGCAATCGGGGTGGTCCCTGATTACCCTGGGGCATGGAAGCCCTGCTCCGGGATGAAGCCTAGAGTGTAATTTGTAGCTCCAGGAGGAGCCAAGATTCGGAAGCAGAACTAACATACCCACGCCACGTAGAACATGGTCTACCAATGACAAAAGGCACACAACACCCCTCCCTTCAAGAATGTCCAGGGAGGCCCCGCAGACTCCTGCAGCTTGAAAGGCCTGCCTTTGGGGGCCTTGGGGCCGGGCGTCCCACCTAGCTTTTGGCCGGCTAACCAGGCCAGAGTTTTCCTCCACTCCAGTGTGTGGAGTGCTCAGCCACACCAGTGTCTGCCAGACTTATGTCCGCCCGTCTGCGTGGGCGGCCCTGGCAGCAGGGTACGGAGCAGGGTTTGTGCGAGGACACTGTGGCCCCTGCAGCAGGGTTACGGGGGAGGCAGTGTCCCCTCAGGGGCAAGCCAGGAGGGAACCTGGAGGAGGTGGGGAGCAGAAAGCCGCTCACCCAAGGCATCCTCGGCCCCCTTTTCGAAGGCCCTCTTCCCCTTAGAAGCCGGTTCCAGGCCCCCTTTCCCTCCAGCTGCCCTCTGGCTGTTTTCTTCCTGCTGGGCCCCTCCCCTGCCCAGCCAAGTTCAGCAGGCCCTGCTTCCTGGCACTGACATTCATTCTGTCCACCAAATATTTATTTAGACTATTCTATGCAAGATGCCATATTCCTGCTAGCGACTGGGGGGGGTGAGAGAGATACAAAGAACAGCAAGATTAGACTAGAAAGGACTAATCCTAGTCCTTAGTCTAGAAAGGACTAGAAAGGACCTCAAAATGGTTTTCACACTTCTCTCGGCCTCAGAACCTTCCCCCACTCCCCCTCACAAAAACCCGAGTATTTAAGAAAGAAAAAAAGCAAGATTGCTGCAGCTGAATCTGGAGCAGGGCCCCGTCCACTCTGGTCAGAGGCAGACTCCATGGACAGAGTCTGAGAAGTCCTGATCTAGACCAGAGGGGAAACTGAGGCCCAGGGAAGTGACCTCCCTGAGACACACTGCAAGTTAGCGGCTCAGCCAAGTTCAAATTCAGGTGTCTGAGTGCCTGGCCCAGTGCGTTATCCATTGTACTGCCCTACCCCTTGGCACTTGTCTCAAAGATCCACTGGAGAGAAGAGGCAAGTCAACACAGAATAGAATGCATGTGCTACAGGCCAGTTAAAGAGCGATGGTTCCAACACAGGGAGAGAAGCCCTCATGGCAGAGGGGCAGGAGGCCAGGCCTCGATCAACATGGGCAGGGTTTGACATGGCAGGGATGTGGTGGGCAGTTGGGTAGTGGGAAAGAGGCAATTCCAGGCCCCAAATAACGTGGTCACCTAAAGCCTGAAGAAAGCCTGGCAGCTCAGAGACCTGGGTTCCAGCCCTGGCTCTGCCATTACAAGCTGGGTGACCTTGGACCAGTGGCCTCCCCTCTCTAGGTTTGTTTCCTTGCATGTAAAATGGCAGAGGGGGTGAGCTAGCTTGTCCACTGTGACATGCTTTGATGCTTTCTCCCCTCCCATGAGGCTGGCCCTCCCCTCCCCACCATCACTACCAACGTCACCACCCAGGACACTCGCCAGTGTGTGCCAGGTGGCTGGAATTGACACCAAGAGGAAGTGTCCCTGGGTGCTCCATCAGAGCAGCACGGAGCTGGCAGACCTGCTCAAGGGGCCCGCCCAGAGCTTTGGAGAACAGTGACAAAACACGAGGAGGCTGGAGCCCGGGCAGAACTGGGGCAGGAACCATTCCTCTTCTGGGAAGGGTTCTTTCTAATCCAGTCCTCTCTGGAGGCCCAGGCCTCAGCCAGTGCCCCCCATCGCCACCCCACGCCCACCACCTTGGAGCAGAAAGGGGAGGTCTCAAGGGCAGCCACTTAGCCCCAAACCTCAGTATTCTTGCTTTTAAAATGAGGTGAAAATAGAGACTTAGTATTTTTTTTAAATAATTTTTTTAAACATTCTTTTTAAAAAAAATATTTTATTTCTTTATTTTTGGCTGCGTTGGGTCTTTGTTGCTGCGTGCAGGCTTTCTCTAGTCGTGGCGAGCAGGGTCTACTCTTCGCTGCGGTGCACAGGCTTCTCATTGTGGTGGCTTCTCTTGTTGCAGAGCACGGGCTCTAGGTGCACAGGCTTCAGTAGTTGTGGCACGTGGGCTCAGTAGTTGTGGCGTGTGGGCTCTAGAGCTCAGGCCCAGTAGTTGTGGTGCACGGGCTTAGTGGCTCCGCGGCATGTGGGATCTTCCCGGACCAGGGCTCGAACCCGTGTCCCCTGAATTGACAGGCGGATTCTTAACCACTGCGCCACCAGGGAAGCCCAAAACTTAGTGTTCTTATTTGTAAAATTGATCATGCTTGTCAAGTGCCTAGCACGGTGCCTGGGGTAGGAACCACTCAGTAAATATCAGATCCTATGCATTGCCAGGGGGCTGCCTGCTGGGGACGACCGCACAATCTGAAGGCTCCTGACATTAAATAGGCTGCTTCAAGTAGGGCCCCTGTGTGTGCAACACACGCTCAATCACAGGAGAGGAGAACCGCAAAGGGCACCTGGGGAGGTTGGTGAGAAGCCCGCTAGAAACAATGTGTGTGCGCCTCCTGCTGGCTGGGAGCAAAGGTGCAGGCCTTCAGGCTCAGGATGCCGGGGCCGTGAAGGGGGATCCTTGTTAGCACAGCATGCTGCTGCCTGGTAGATTGAACCTAGTAGTCACAGAGCACCCATGAGGTGTCACCCACCTGGCAACGCGCCAGGTTGCGGAAGGATGACTGACAGTGAATTACAAACAAAATGAGTGACAGGTAAGCTCTGTTTTTGGAGCCAATTAATTTGAGAGTCAACCAGGCATCAGTTCAAGCTCAGAGACCACCCCAGAAACCATCTGTGCTGGATACAGCAGTGAGCAAAATTCCTTGCATCTTGGACTTGTAGTGGGTGGAGTGACCTTGGACAGGCCACATAATCCCTCTGAGCTTCAGTTTCCTCATCTGTAACGCTTAAGTCTTCTCCACCCCTTACCCCCATACAAGAGGGTAGGGACCCTAGGTGTGGATCTCAAGGACTCTGTCATCTGGGGGGAGTTGAAAGCCATCACCAACAGCCATGTCTTCCTAAGGAAAACCATCCCTTTGAAACTGGGCTGTGGCCTGTCACACTCCTGTGGCATGCCAGGCTGCCCAGGTTCTCCCACCCACCAGGTACCCCGGCAGACCCCCGGCTCTAGACCCTTCTGCTCCAGGATAATGATGGGGCCCTAACCGCTAATGAGAGACCATCGGAGTGGATGTGGGAGGACACCGGGATGGCAAGTCCCCACACTGCACGATCCAGGCCACAGCGGGTATTTCTCCTTGTTAACTGGACTGCTTCGCCTCACAGTGTTGCCTGGTGGGGGCCTTTGCCTTCCTGGATCCCTGTTCTCTCCCAGATCACTGGGAGAATCCGGTCTCACGTGGTATGATTTTGAGGGCTTGAGGAGGATAGGGAAAGATGTTCTCAATGAATTTTTTGTTGTTGTTGTTGTTGTGGTACGCGGGCCTCTCACTGCTGTGGCCTCTCCTGTCGCGGAGCACAGGCTCCGGACGTGCAGGCCCAGCTGCCATGGCTCACGGGCCCAGCCTTTCCGTGGCATGTGGGATCCTCCCAGACTGGGGCACGAACCCGTGTGCCCTGCATTGGCAGGCGGACTCTCAACCACTGCGCCACCAGGGAAGCCCTCAATGAATTTTTATTAAGACCCATCATCACTACCACAATCAACAAGTTTGCATTCCCAGTGGCCTTTACTGTAGAAGTGCACGGATGCACACACGTGTTTGCACACACACACACACAGAGCAAAGGTGAGGGTTGAAACCAACTGATGCCAGAGGAATGTTTGAACACCTGTATCAAAACTTTAGTTGCACAAGTTAGACGAAAAATCGTCTGTTTTGATTTCTATAAATATTTCTCTTGCATATTTTGTTATTAGTCCCTAAGGTATGTAAGAAGAAGGATTAGTGTTCATTAGTGTTCGGTTTATTTTTTAAGGGTGTCTGTAGTATCATCTCACACTCTGTGTGTATGTGTGCTCTTGCATTCATTCATGTAACAAGGTTTTATTGAGCTACTGCCAGGTATTGAAGCAATAGCAGTAAATAAAACAGACACAAGTCCTACACAGAGCTTACATTCTACTATGTTTGTGTGTGTGTGTGTGTGTGTGTGTGTTGACAGAAAAATAAATAAGCAAGTGGCACAAACATGACATTTGCTGGTAATATGTGCTGTGGAGAAAACGAAAGCAAAAGAGGGGGTTTGGGTGCCCCAGGATGGGGGGTAATTTTAAATGGAGTGGTCAGGGAAGACCTCATTAAAAAGGTGACATTTAAGTAAAGATCTAAAGGAGGTGAGAGAGTGGACCATGTCGTTATTTAGTAAAAGAGGCTTCCAGGCAGAGGAAATGGTGATGCAAAGGCCCTGACGCAGGAACATGCCTGATGACAGAGAAGCCATCCTGGAGAGAACAAGGAAGGGGAGTAGGACATGTGGTCAGAGAGGGAAAGGGGAGGAGCAGGTGGTGTTGGGCTTTGAGGGCCATTGGGAGGACACTGGTGTTTACTCTGAGTGAGATGGAGCCATGGCAGGGTTTTCAGCAGACGGGTGACATCGTCTGTCCTGCATCGGAGCAGGATCATTCTGTCAGGAGAACGGCGGGAGAGCAGGGGGACCAGGCTATTGGAGGGATAGAGGCAAAGGGATGGTGGCTGGAACCAGGCGGGTGGTAGCAAGGTTAGTGAGAAGGGATCCATTTCTGGACGCAGCCTGATGTCAGGGCAGGTTGCACAAGTTAGATGAAAAATCATCTGTTTTGATTTCTATAAATATTTCTCTTGAATATTTTGTTATTAGTCCCTAAGGTATGTAGGAAGAAGAATTAGTGTTCATACACACACTAACGAGCGAGTGACACAGCAAGGAGCGAGTGTCCACTGCGAGGCCCCACCCAGCTCCTAAGGTAAGGACCCTCACACCCCACAGGGGGAATGGTGACAATGGTCCTTCCCTCACAGGTGTGTTGCGAGGACAATACATGCAAAGTACTTAGCAAACTCTTTGGACTTGATGAAGAGGAGTTATTTTTATTAATGAAGTATGCTCAAGGGTCCTCCACACCCTTTTTCCAACCTGTGTAGGTAATTGCATCCCTCTTCTGAAAGTTCAGAAATTAGCACCTGCCTTGTAAATAGGACACGACAAAACACCACTTAGAGACACATGGTGGGGAGAGGTTAATCCGGGTAGGCTTCCTGGAGGAGGAGCTTGGCTGACTTCCTCTCTTTTCAGGCAAAGAAACTAAGGCTCAGTGACATTAAATAACTTGCCTGAGGTCACAAAGCTAGAAACTGGCAGAAAAGGACATCCATGCTTTTCTGGCTCAGAAGCCACTGCTCTTAGCCAGTGTGCTGCCATGGTGACAGGTCATTCCCATCAGAGGAGAACGATGGCCGTTCATGTGAAGACCTGGGACAAGAGGGTCTGAATGGCCATCGCTCAGTCTGGGTGGAGCAGAGGTATGGGAACCTTGGCATGGCTTCAGTAATAATCATAGATTATGATTATCTGGTGAGCAGAGCAGTGTGCCAGGCCCTGGGCACCAGGTCTGAGATGCATGATTTCATTTAACCCTCAGTTTGCGGAGGAAGAAACTGAGGTCTGACAAGTGTACTGGTCTCACTTATGGGTGTCAGAACTGAGACAAGAACCCAAGTTTTTCTTTTATCTACTGCTGTGTAACAGTGGACTTGAGATGTTAGCGGCTTTAAACAACAACGCACTTGTTCTTATGATTTTGTGAGTCAGGAATCTGGGCAGGGCTCGACTTGTTGGTTCTTCTCCTCCACGTGGCATTAGCTGGGATCATTCTGCACTGGCAGCGGGACTGGGAAGGAAGGGCCGAGAAGGCTTATTCACATGCCTGCCAGCTCGGCGCTCCTCTACACGGCCTCCCCCGTGTGGCCAGCATGGTGGCTTCAGGGTGGCTGGTTTCTTACATGGCAGCTGGCTTCCAAAGGATGAAAGCAGAAGCTGCCAGGCTCCTTAGGGGCCAGCCGTGGAGCTGGCATAGCGTCACTTGCACTGAATTCTACTGGTCAAAGCAAGTCCTGTGGCCGGTCCAAGTTCAGGAGGAAGGGAAACAGATTTCTCCTCTAGATGGACACAGCAGCATGCTCATTCTGGAATGCAAGATGCTTGTGGCCATGGTGAGAGACTAACAAGCAACCCCAGCTTCTCCACGGGCAGCCTTCCTCCCATGTCTAGTTCCAGGAAGCTCTCATTTCCAGGGATTTGCTAAAGCCCACCAGGCCCCCACCACGAGCCACATGCCTATGTTTCGTCTTACCTGGCCCTCCAGCCCAATGACTGCTTCATGCTCTGAGCTTGGCTTTACAAGAATCTATCTTATCTTGTTTTCTCCAAGGCAGGCACCATTTTCCCCTGCTTCCCAGGGGCCCCATCACCTGAGTTAGCCTGAGCATGTCTTGTTCTCAGGACCCTAAAAGAACCGAACATGTGACTTGCAGACAGTCAGCCACCTGAACAAGAATGGGTTGGATTCATCTTTGCAGAGCCAGCACCAGCACTGAGTTTTCCCCAGAAGAAGAGCTCCGTAAACAGGACTTTCTGGCACCAAACTTCACACGCTTGGGCCTTGAACCAAGGAAAAGAGCGTCTTACCTCTCCAGGATCGGCATCATCATCACCTGGAAATGTGTCTAGGGTTGTGGCCCTCCCATCCTACCTCCTGAACCGGAACTTGCATTTTAACAAAAACCCAAGTGACTCATATGCGTGTTCAAGGTTGAGGCAATCGAGGTAGCAGTTCCCGAGGTAAAGAACGGGAACAGGCTGGGAAGACAGATGCCAGGTGAGCCCATCTGGAATGATCAGGCAAGGGTCTCACCCTTGGCTGACGGTTACAATCACCTGTGGTCCTTTAAAAAAAAATCCTGATGCCCAGTGTGCACCCCAGTCAATTAAGTCTTACATTCCTGGGGGTGGAGCCCAGGCAACAGAATTTTCTAAAATCTCCTTAAGCGATCTCACTGTGCAGTCAGGGTGGGGAGCCGCTGGTTTAGGGTACTGCTTCTTCAAGTGTAGTCTGCAGCTCATCTATGCCCAGATCACTTGAGACACTGATTAACTATGTAGATTCCTGGGTCCCACACCCGGTTCTTGAGTCTAAACATCCGGGAGCACGGCGCAGGAACCCACATTTTTAGCCATCTCCCTAGATGATGTGAATGTGCACTAAGTTAGAGACCATTGGTTTAGGGCCCTGAATAAGCGACAACAATGGCAATGGTGTTTCTAAATGCTACAAAGTCTAATGTGCAAACATTAGAAGATATAGGTAAGTCAAAGTAGGAAACAAAAAATGTGTGTACTCCTTCTGTCTAGGGATGATGGGGGCCCCCTCGGCACCCACTCTAGAGAAGGGAAGGCACCTCCCTCCCCTAGGGAAGCTGCCACCCATCGCTGGGTCGGCTGTGATTTGGGCTCTGATTCGCTGGCAGGGTGGAGCCTGTTCTCTGGCCCGGACGGACAGAATTATTGCCTCCAATCACACGGTTGATTATCAGTTACTCGTGTGTGTGTGTGTGTGTGTGTGTGTGTGTGTGTGTGTGTGTGTTTGTGTGTGTGTGTGTGTGTGTGTGTGTGTGTGTGTGTGTGTGTGTGT